TTCCTGACAGTTAGAACAATTAACCAATGGAACAACCTGCCTCCAGAAGTGGCGAATGCTCCAACACTGGAAGTTTTTAAGAAGAGACTGGACAGCCGTTTGTCTGAAATGGTGTAGGGTTCCTGCCTGGGCAGGGGGTTGGACTCGATGACCTCCAAGGTCCCTTCCAACTTTATTATTATTATTATTATTATTATTACTTTAAAAGTGCTTTTTTTTGCCCTTAAATTCAAACAATCCCAAACTTTACCTACTTTCCAAAGATTAATCTAGCATTTCATAAATTTCTTCTTAATTTTAATAAGCTTGTTGCATTTATAGTTTTATTAGATTTATTATAACTGTCCCACTCTTAAAGATCCTGAGCAAATTTACAATTTCAAACAATTAAAAGCATAACAACAAAACATAACAGCCTTAGTAGTCAAACAAACAAAGAAACAAAACCACGACAAGGGTTCCACTAATACTGGGCCTGGGGAAAGAGCCAGGTCTTAAAAGTCTTCCAGAAACCTAACAGAGTTGGTTTTGTTGGCTAGGTCTTACAGTACTTGGCTCTGCTTGTACTCCAAAGAATGCAAGTAGCAATTCTCTATTCATTTCATTGTATGGGTAAGATACAGTTAAATGCAAAATGTTCATGATAAATTTCTGGTTTCTACTCTTTAATACATTCCCAGTTTATGTTCAAAATACCCAAGATTATTATCAGTTCATCTAAAGCAGGAGTGTCAAACTCGCAACGTCACGTGACGTGTCGCGATGTATCGTGACTTTTCCCCCCATTGCCGGCAGTGGGGTGGGTGCGGTTTCGGCGTGACGCATCCGGCCCGCAGGCTGGCAGTTTGACACCCCTGATCTAAAGCAATGGCATCACTCTCTAAAAAGAAATGCTTCTTACTCTATGTGATTCTTCAATCTCTTTGTAGAGTGACTGTGCGGATGTCTGTATGGAACCATTTTGTAGAGAGTCTGTTGGTGGCCTGCAATAAAAAAAAACTACTGAGTTGTAGAAAATTTTCCATTTCTGTTACATTTCTGCAGCTACACATCTGGTATGAAAAATGGTTTCAATATATATAATAAAACAGATTGAATAAATTGGAAAAGATTGTATTTATTCTTTATTAACCATTTATTCTTGTTCAGTAAAAAGTCTTCCCAAAATTAAGATAAAAGTTAAATTAATATAACAAAAAGGCTTTATATTACATATGCATTACATAATTTCTTGTGAATAAATATGAGATTGACCATGATTCAGGGTGAAAAGGAATAATATAATTACAAGTTAGCCTCAAGATTTGTTGGAATAGCAGTTGTATGTGGTATTTATTAAATATCACTTTTTAGTCTTTCCTTAAAAATATAGTTTGTAACAAATATTATAGTATTAGCATTCAATAGGCATTACGGTACATCTTAAAACTCTCACACTAAAAATATCCAATGCTGCTAGCACTTACATTTTTAGGTCTTGATAGGACGGACATAAGTGTTCTTGAAGCCTACTAACTTCCAGTTTCAATTCCTATATGGACAGTACAGTATAAGAATATTTCATTTCATTTTCATTTCATTTATTTCAATTTATATCCCGCCCTTCTCCCGAAGGACTCAGGGCGGCTCACAACATTATTAAAAAAACAAAGACAGACCCACACACCCCTGGCTTATTTTGGTTTAATTTTGGTTATAAAATCACAACACCATTAATTTTAAAGATTTTTTGGGTTAAATTTTTAGGAGGGATCCGGTCCGGGCGAACAACCTTTTCGGATGTCTTGAGGGCGCGGCGGAAAGTAAGGAGATCCGGAATCATCCGGATCTCGGGGGGTAGTTCGTTCCAGAGGGCAGGGGCACCCACAACACCTGCTATAATAGTGCAGTGAAAAGAAGCAAAACAGTAGCTAAACAGAAATATCTAGAAATCTGCATAGACTTACTTTACAGGAATGTTCAATTTCATTAACATTTCAGTAATTCCACTGATGTGGAACACGTGCCATAAACTGAAGAAAGGGTTGAAAAACCTGTGAATCTTCACCTTCCTAATATGAGTTACCAATACTTTTACAATTATGTAACTGAAATGGGAAACTTGAGGATAATAATCTGTTGACATTCCAAGCAGCCTTGTGCCTGGATTGCTTAATGACACTCTGGCTAGATTCCTTCTTGTCACAATTAAAATGTACATTACCTGTACCATCATTTGATATTCATCCAGAGTTATTGTAAGCTCTTCAATTTGTTTTGTTTTCTGTAAATATAAACATTAATAAAATCCAAACAAAGTAATTCAGCATCACAAAGCAAACTGTGTTCTAGCAAAGATTTTGAAAGTAGCTACCTGAAACTAGGAATTGTTTCTTTTTTCATAATCAAATTAAATTTAACATTGAAGTTGTAGTGACACCTAGGAATTCCTGAATGCAGCGACAAAACAAGTTAGCCGGAGGTTGTCAATTATTTTAACATCAGAAGAATCATTTTTAATTGCTGTAAAATGTATACCTCTGCAACATCAATTTTTCAGGCTCATAAGAAAAGTTTGAAAAAGTGAAGCAGCTTTAATAGATTAGTGGTGATGAGTGTTTAAAATGGTATCTGCATTTATTATTATAGCTATGATAGCAAAAACTCTTCATCACCTTAAAACAATAGTTGTTTTAATCCCTATAATCATAATAGCACAGAATATCATAAGACCCACACTGTTATTTTACCTCCCCACTATGACATAGCTACATTTTCAATTTGGCATACTCTGGACAAACAACTTACCTTATTAAGGGCAGCATCTTTGCAGGAGATATGATTTTCATACTCAGAGAGTTGTGACTATGAGGAAATAAAAATACAAGTACGGTAGTTGCAATCATACAGTATAGCCAAATTATAAGCACTGCAGTTAACTACCCAACTAGTGGTACACTGACATTTTTGATAAACTATGTATACAACTCAGCTCATTCATACCTTCATTTTGGCTTTCTTTGTAAATAGCTTTTTGATTTTACCCTCTGAGCTTTCCTTTTCCAGAAGCAACTTTTTGTTCTGGAAGACAAATACAATAGATTATTAATGTTTCTTACCTCTGTGTCAAAGCAGTATGTGTTGATGGTGTTTTGATTAGTTTCTTTTCCAGCTGAGTGAGGAAGATACAGTAATAAAATCCAATGTACAACAAGTAGTTAATATATACAATTATACTTTTATGGGGTAATATGCAATTTCATGCAGTGATTCTTTTTGAAATAAAAGATTATTAGCTGTACACTTTTATTCTGACACTATCCGAAGGCAGCCTTAAAGTAAGAATGTGTGTTAGGCATTGTTACTCAGTACCTCAGAGGGAGGTTAGGCAATTGTAGTGACTTGGAACAGAAGTTAGATAGGGATCGGCAATGAGGATAGAAAATTTGAAGCTGGTACAATTTTCTGCTGCCCTGCAATTATTTCAGGCATAACTACTATAACCTCACTTTCTGAACTCTCCCCTCTTTACCTTACCTCATCCTGAAGGTTATCCATCTTAACAGAGAGAAGCTGCTGCTCTTTTTCCTAAAGTATATAGAAGAAAACATATTGACTTAATGGCCGTCACAACAATTCTGACTATATTTTCATGACTGTGAAGTTTAAGTAAGCTTGTGACTGCACTTATACAAAGCTCCCCCTTTTAGTTCTCAAATCTTCATAAAGGAATTCAAAGGGCTTGCCTGTGTTCACTGTTCCCATTTTTGCAATACTCTGAACTGCTCATACAATGATCAATGCTCCCTACATTGAAATGCCAAAACTGACAGACATTACCCATTCCACAGCATCTATTTAGCAGTGATTTTAAAAAACTGACCAGGCAGTTTTGGAGTCATGTTATCATTTGAAAGAACCACTTACTTGTTTATGTATTTATTAAACATAGTGGCACAATCCAAAGAAACTCTTGGTAGCTTTTACTGCATCGAAGAGATACAAACTGAAACATCCACGGTACAGAATAAAAAAAACCTGCTAACACAATAAGAATAAAAACCATGTATATGCAACATAACTTGCAAAAGTACTAAATACAAATAAAAATGGCAACATTCACATTACAGGAAAGCTCGCCAAAACAATTCAATTTTTAAAAGCTATCAAACACCAAAGAAAGAACCAATTTGATCTCCATGGAGGAAATCTACAGAGTAACTCTCACTGGGGCAGAGGACCTCAATGTATCAACAGCAATTCAAATTTGGCAGGATCCAGCTTCAATTTATTTTCTGCCATCCACAGTTTGACAGCCTCCAAAATCTGGGAAACAATAGCCTGGGGTGGCAATGCACAATTGGGTATCATCAACATATTGATGATACTGGACTGTTCTGGATCCTGAACTAAGATGCTTTGTAATTCAAGACCAGACAGATAACTCAACGAAGATGGTTATAAAAACAAATATTTATTCCAGGAATACTTGCAGAACTCACGGTTTTGTAGCTGAGGGGACCTGACTTCTTGTGTGCTTACTGGTTGGGGGGGTGTCTCTTCATTCAGCTGGTGCGTTGTTGGTTCCCTGACTGGTCGGCATGGCTGGTAGTCGAGGTTCTCCTCCGTAGTCAGGTCTGGGGGTGGTTCCTCGGGATGCTGCTTCCTGTTGCCTCAATATTGACTCCTTTCTGGCGAGCTCATCCCGTAGCAGTTGCACTTCCTGCTGTGTAACCATTGCCGCTGCAGGTGGACCCATCTGGTTACCATCTGTGGTTTGGTTCGTTGGGGTCAATGGCGTAGCAATGGTGGGAAGATCTCGTGATCCAGATGTTGCGACGTCAACTCTCTGGCTGATGGGTACATCTGGCCGTTGAGATTCTTCTCCTTGTCTACTCGGGCCTTGGGGGGCTTGCGGATAGCTGCGGCGCTCTCACTTGTTCACATTGAAACACGCTCTGGCCGTCAACGTAGGCTTGCACATGGTTATGAGGGCTTTCCCTCCCTAGCCCTTCCAACCTGTGCATAGATGTAGCATCTTCCAGCTCTCTCTGCAGAACCGCTGCTCTTACGGCTGCCTCTTTTGCTTTCTGTTGGCACTGGGAAATCTCAAAGCTGGCCTGAGCTTTGACCATGTCTTCCCTTTGCTGATGCTGTGCCTCTACCATGCGAAGGGCTGCTGCAGCCTGAGCTTCCTTTTGCTGATGCTGTGCCTCTACCACGCGAAGGGCTGCTGCAGCCTGAGCTTCCTTTTGCTGACGCTCTGCTTCTGCTACACGTAGAGCTGCTGCAGTCTCCGCTTTAGCCAATTCTTCTCTTTGCCACTTTTCTTCTACTGCTGCTTGTGCAGCAGCAGCAGCCATTGCGGTATCGATTCGTGCTTGTGCAAGACGGGTGGCAAGGCTCTCTGCCCTTGAGGCTCAGGATGCTTGGCTCTGACGAGAAGACGCTTTCAAATGGTGGGAGGCGCCTGTAATGTGAGATTGTTGTGACACGCTGGAAAATGCCTGGGCTCGCGGTGGGTTATGGCAAAAGGGTGAGGCTTTTCCAGAGGCGTGAGATGGAGCCACCTGTGATCGCTGGGATGGCGCATGTGAATGGCGGGAGACTTCGGACTCGGCCCTCTCGTCTGGTCTGTCTTTCCTGTAAGGCTCGGTCTCTGGGAGGTGATCTATACTCTCCAGAAGCTTTTTACATTCCTTGTTTAGTAGCTTAAGGCTTTGCATTCTGCTATCAACTGTTGGGTCTCCTAGTTGCGCCTGAATCCTTTCAAGATGGCGTTCGAAGTCTATCCATTGCCAGAGAGCATCTTCCCTAGCATCTTCCAATGAGCGCGCATGTTTGGGGGAGAGCTCCTCCTTAGGCACTTGGTAGAGTTTGTGTAATTTCTCCCAGTGTCTTTCATGGCGTTCATAACTCGACTCCCATCTTTCCATCAGATGTGAGCGCATGGCTTCTGTAGGCTTTCTTTGTTGCCTCAGGTCATAGGGCACTTGGGATGTCTTTGGCCTCACTGAGGCTTGAGCATCAGCCTCTGTGTACAGGTCAAGGTTAGCTGGTTGCAGCATTTCTCCTTGGCCGGCTGGTTGGGGTGTCTCATCTAGGCTGGTTGGTTGAACCCCTTCTTCTAAATCAAGGAGACACTCCACCATGGCTAGGACAGGTTCAGTAAACTTCCTAGCTATTTTAAAGCTAATTCAATGAACTTTGCTCTTTGACCACTAGGGGTCACTCTATCTGGGTGGACACTTTGGGGAAATTCCCTCTTTGGCCACCAGGGTACACTGTTTGCGTGAGTGAGTGCTTCAGCAATATTCACTCTTTGACCACTAGGGGTCACTGCTTGCATTCGTGGGTGCTTCAGCGAAGTTCACCCTTTGACCACTAGGGGTCACTGCTTGCGGGTCAGCCACCAGGGTGCTCTTCCTCAAGGTTCACCCTTTGTCCACTGGAGGGCTCTCTCTGTGCGTGATTAAAGGCTCGCGTGAAGTTCCTCCTTTAAGCACTAGGGGGAGCTTGGAGAAAGGTCAGCTAAAATTCTTTCTTCTTAGAATCACGTTGCAAGTTAGTGGCCACCTGGAGATTACTGAGCTCCAACTAGCTTCCATAAACCTCCACCATGGTCGTTACATTGCAAGCTGTTGACTGCCTGGAGATTACTGAGCTCCGACTAGCTCCCATAAACATCCATCTGGTCGTTATGGCTTTGTGATAATAAGCAAGGTTAATTTGCTGCCTTTTTTCCCCTTAATTTGCCCTCAGCAAAGACACCACTAGGGGTGACTGCTTGCATGAGTGATTACTTCAGGTGAAGTTCACTCTGTGCCCACTAGGGGGTGCTGGTTACTTTGGATGAATTCAGGGAACTTTGCTCTTTGACTATCAGAGACACACTCTGCATAGTTAGAAATTTCAGCGAAGTTCCTTCTTTCACCTCCAGGGGGTGCTATTAACTTGGATTTGTGCAAGCCTGCTATTTGCAGATCAGCTACCAAGGTGGGGGGTGCTGTTCTTTCAGCAGGGCTGTGAGGCAGAAGGCCTGTAGTGTAATTTTTAAGGAATTACTTTGCTTAAAATTAGATTCCATAAGTTATAATGATTAGTGTTCCAGAGCCAATAACCTTGTACATAAATTCACTGGCTTAGTCTGTTTGTGACCCCCCCCATGTTGGTTGCCAAACACCCACATTTTGATCATGTAATCTTAGAGACACTGTGATGATCGTTAAGTGTGAGGACCAATAGTAAGTCACTTTTTTAAATAATTGTAAATAGATTGGTTGTAAGTCGAGGATTACCTGTAAAATAACACCTATTCCCAACTCTTGCAGGTGTCCCTGAAGGATATCATGATTTTCTGTACTCACACAGATCAACTTAACACCCTCTTTCCCTGGCTCCCCTCAGCTCACGTACACATGCAGGCACCCCAAGCCATCTTTCCCTGGCCTCTCTCTGCTCCCACACATCTTGCCTTCTTTCCCCACCTTCCTGTGCTTGCAAAATGTTATAGAAACTGGTTGCAGTGGTCAAGTGTAAGATCATAAAGCTGTTTTTTCCTTAGTAGGGAGTTTACAACCCTATACAAGGCCACAGGATAGCAGCTATCTGATGCAGTAAGGAGAAGTAGACATAACTCTCCTTCCTTATCACCATGAGGTAGGCCTGAACAAAGGCACATATCCATGCTCTATTGGATTCACCGGGGCAATAACATTTAGTGCCTGGTTCTCTGCCTCATGGCAGCCTCTTACCAGATCCTGCACAAAAAAAGCCCATCAGAAAGCTGGCAAATTCCCGAGTGCCTTCTGAAAATCAATGAAATCCATCATGCATCTGGGTTGTGGTTTTGTTTGTTTGTTTGTTTGTGGGGGCCTTTGATTCAATTTCTGACTCCTGGGGATTGCCTGGACTATAAGTAGTCCTTGACTTATTTAATTTAATTTAATAATTTAATTTATATACCGCCCTTCTCCCGTAGGACTCAGGGCGGTGCACAGCATATTAAAAACAGACAAACAAAATACATCAAAGAACAAAAAACCCCCATAAAACCAAATTAAAAGCCAAATATTCGAAGCTGTGTGTCAATTAAAATTTTCTTAAAATCATCCCTACCTAAAATCCTC